AAAAAAAAAAAAAAAAAAAAGAAACGAGAAACGTGTATCACAGATCGCTGCCGACAATTTGCACGCACTTGGAGCCACGAATTCGTATGGACACTCGCATAGAAATATTTACCTTGCTACATGTAAAATGAATAGAGAGCCTGCCTGAATCGAACGAAGGAAGGCTCAACCGGCCCACTGTGACGTCGCCGGCCTACTGTCAGCTCAGCGCTCGCTCGGCCCCGCGGTCAACTAACCTACCGTGTTCGCCGCGCAGACTTTACCGACAAAATAAATCGATTCGGCACCGCCCACGCGTATAATTTGTCCACGATAAATCCTAACTGATTATATAACTATTTTACGTGTAAATTTCACATTGATATCATAATTTTATAAATATCTAATGTCGTTTCAGTCGCTCACTTGACTAGCGTAGTAGTCAGGTGTGAAACGCTCACGCGCACAGCCACACATACAGAGACGGCGCACGTTTCCCTCGCAGATCTCGCGATTCGTAGAGCCATAGGCGTCGTTGGACCAAAAAAACTCTGTTCACCGTGTTAAGGGTGGGAGGTGAGACCATGTAAGAATATCAAACGCATTGACGTCTTACGCAGCAAGGAAGGTAATTATTTCGGATGTACTTTGTCACACGGTTGGCCTCGAAATTAGAAATTTCGTACAGTGTGAACTGGTGTAGCTCGAATTTACGTGCGCGATAGATAGAGAGAGGTGGGAGAGAGGGAAAGAGAGTCAGAAAGAGAGAGAGATAGTGTGAGACAGAGAGATAGGGACAGCGCGTGTGCGTGTATACAAGAAGAAGAGAGATAGAGATTGAAAGATAAAGAGATGCATCGACGGAACAGATATTCGCATGCAATTCTGCCCCAATTTGTCACAGGTATTTTCCCCTTCTCCTTTCTTTTGTTACATCGCCTATGCAATGTCGACTCAAAGATGCTTTTCTAAAATTTATATGCAGATTTTGTTTTTCGTATTAAATTCGATAGTTTCGTGGATTTTTAAACGCTATCAAAAAAACATTCTCTTTTTCCCCTAACCTAATTCTCATTTCTTCAAATTCGTATCGAATAAAAATCTATTTTCTAACCTCTTTTAAAAATCCTTCTTATCATATTCATGAAAAAAAGAAATTTTTTTTTTGTATACAGGTATCAAGAAAAGAATTGAATAAAGCGTAATACTACGGAGAATCATATCAGAATTCCAAAGGGGCCTCGAATGCGCGACACGTGCGACTTCGAATTAGAAAAAGTAAACACGCGTTCGGCCAGGTGGCGCGGAATGTCGTTGCTACATCGATGAGCAGTTTTACGCGCACAGGTACTTACTTACATATATTTTTCGTGCAATATAGTTGTTACGATATGTATGACTATATAGATTCTTAGGTAATACTAATTGCGTCCGACTGTCGACTACATCCGTAAAGCTCGCGGCAGCCGCGTGCGTGTTCGAGAGGGCGTGCGCGCGCGCGCGTGTTTGCTAGCGAGCCAGCTCGCAAGATCACGCGTCTATATACGCACACGTGTACTTGCACACAGATGTACCGCTGCAGGGAATAATTTCATTGTAGCTACTTTAATGCGATCGTCGCCGATAAATTATTCCTAGGCTGATAGCTCGTGATCGCCGCTGTAAGAACCGGAATTTACTGCGAGTCGTGCCGACTCGGTTTAAACGCAAATCCATCGTGCAAATTGAATTGCCTCAATGTAAATAGTTTCTTCATCCGATGAAAGAAGGCCGAACGGTGGCACGTTAACACGCGTAATACTCCTTTGACTATTTTTTTAATGATGTTTCTCGATCGATCACGATGCATTATTTTTTTCAACGCTTTTTTGCATATTGCTAAATATAGGTTAGAATGTCAAAATAACCGTACTTGTGATATTTTTTATATTTTTTTCTTCAACAACTTGAACAACTTTTGAAGTGTTTAACAAATTGTACGTAGCTCGGGAGCTAGTTATGCATAATTTTCCTTTTCAAATTTTTGTTGCGTTATATGTATACATATACATATATACATATATATTTGCATGAACATAAATTATAGCTACGTACTGAAGTCCATTTGATATGCCAACGCGAGAGAATCCGTGTGAATGGAATTACTTTGTTGCGATTTCCGTAGAATCACGCGAGTTTTTCCTTTATCGATCATCGTCGTTGTATGTCAAGACTTAGAATTCCGCGTTTGCGTAGACGCTACAACGTAGATACAAAATATCGAATACTGCTCGAAATATAGCTTAAAATTTTACCTATCTCATGCAAAAGAATTTTAAATATACTAAATAAAAATAATTAAATTTTATATTTCTAAATTACGATTTAAATCAACAGAATCGAATGTTATTTATAAATCTTTATAAAATATCAATTTAATCTCGTTTCTGTCTCGTCGTGAGATCTTTGCAAATCTACAATCAAATCGTACATTAAACATCTCCACCTCCATAATTTCTCGCTGTTCCGCGGTTTTTCCTTGTCACGAGGAAAACGCAATCGTGCCACGTAGCCAACGTTAGTCCAGGAAAGCCACGCGCGTCTAGTACGGCTGTAGGTAGCAGAATGAAACGACGATGTTGCGATGCGGTGGTGGAACACTCGGAGAAATTGCACCGAAAAAAAGAAAGAAGAAAAAAAGAGAAGAAAGAGAAAGAGAGATAGAAAGCGAGATAGAAAGAAGGGAGCGAGAACACGTCCAACCAGCTGCCTTGATACTTCATTATGGCTCCTGGTTTTTATGGTGACCCTCGTCGCACGGTGCTCACCGGGTATTTTCCCGCGTGATAAACGCGATTATTGTCTGCCGTTATTTGCAGATCGATCCGGTGTTACATGCGCGTCCACGTGCACGTTGTTTTTCATAGATCGTCCGCATCAGAGGGC